GATTAAATTTTTACCACTTTAGCATCAACAAAAGCATAACTCAATTCTGAATCATGAGATAATAATCTTTTTTTTAATTCTGGTGAATTCTTGACATTTATAAATAATGAAATATGAATTAAGCCACGGTTTGGATAAAGTTCTAGAATGTGAGAAAACATTTTTAAATTGACAGATATTATGTCACACAAAGACGCTTTTAACAATTATACACAATAGTAATGATTTAAACCATATTATATCATAAATATGAAAAATAAAATAGTTCTAATTATATAATACCAATAATAGTAAAATATGCAATACTATTAATTGATTGATTTTAAATTATATAAGTATAGAACAACTTTCACTTGTTGGTACATGAGGATTGTCCATCTGATGGTTCCTGAGCATTTCAAAGATCACAAAATCGTGATGTGTTTGAGCAATAAATTATTTAGAATGAAAAAATTATGATAACCATTGCAATTTTTTATGAGGAACCTTTCGCTTTGTATGCAAGTTCTACTTGCTTGACTATTTTTGAGCATTTCAAAGATGAATTTCATAAAAAGTTGGACATCACACAAAGATAATTTGGTCTTTTTAGAAATAAATTTCTGATGATCAAAACAAACTTCAAGGTCAGAGACATACGATCCTAAATTCAATTGCATCATCATATCATCAGGGGATGAGGGTTATGTATCACTCCATCATGGAGTGGGTTAAGATTTCTAATTTTTTTGTAACTAACCTGGAGCAAAATCATATGTTTATTTTTTTAACAGCCATTTACAATCTGGTAGGAGTGTTAATAAGACCAGAATTGGAAGGAGGAAAAATTAAAAAGTCCATCAAAATGGTCTTAATTAAACTATTCAAAATTGTGGCAATAATTTAATAATCCTCATATGTAACAATTATTGTTAATATAATATTAATATTAATAAATTTATTATCTAGTTGAGTTGCTATAAAATTCATTAAAGTCAAGCCGAACATTTAGAAATCTTAGATCAGTGTCTTGAAGATGAGCCAGTGTAGTTAATAAGTCAACAACTTCACTCTTTTTTTCATTGCATAAAAATATCGAAAAAATTAGGGGGGAGAAGAAATAAAATAAAACCTTAAAATTAAGGATAAAATTCAAGATTCAAAAATAATAATAATAATACCTTGAACAATCCTGCTATTTCATTAAAACGTGCTTGAATTGGTTTCAATTTTTCTTTTGAATCATCACTTAAAAATGATGATTTTTCTTCATCAGTATCGCCCAGATTTCTCGACTTTTTAAATAATTTAAATGAGGAATAGTAAATAACAAAATTTATTATTATATCAATTTTATATTCAAAGTGTCATATAAATTTACACACACATATATATTAATTAGCATTACCTTTCCTTGGCGTATTTCTGATACAATATTAATATTTTCTCTATGCATCAGTTCTTTGATGGTGAAATTATATAATTCATCCTAAAGGAATATATAATATGTGTGTTATTATGGTTGAATAGTAATAGAAATAAATATTATAT